CCAAGAATCTGGAAAAAGTGCAGGAAGCGAAGTGAAAGATAAACGAGTTTTTCGTCTGTCAGAGACCTCCCTCTGGCCCGGGCAATCCTCGGCTGTCCGTGCAGACACGTAGTGGTTAAACTCTTTTTTCTCGTTAACCGAAGGTGAACGTGTGGTGACGCTGAAGTCACCGTCTCGTTAAACTCCCAAGTCTATCTTAGAACTCGGAAACTCCTAGAAGCTCTGGAAAAGGGAAGAAAAAGCGGAACACCTTGAGCTATTTCCAGATAACAAGAGAAAGAAGGGGCCAGGTCAAGCTCGCGAAAGGAAGCTTCAAAGAAATTTGAGTAGAACGACAGAAATTTGATTTATCTCCCTAACCCCAGCTTCATCTTACATCCGATATTGATTTGACGTCGAAATCGCGATGCAGCGCACAACGTGGCTTTGAACGAGGGAAGACAATTTTCTCTTCGTTCGTGGGACGTTGTAACCCACAACAAAATGTCGAAGTCGCGGAACTTGCTTGGACATTTGCAATTCTAATTCATAGAACTCTGGACGCAATTCAGTTTTCCCTTGGCTAGTAACATGAATTTCAAACGTTACGATACGTCAGAGTAAATAACTCCGATGTTATTTAAGCGAAAGCATTTCGTTGGAAGGAGTCTACGAGATGATATCGGCAGTTTGTTTATTATTTGGTTACGTTGAGCAAAATAGCAGAGTTAATTCTTTATTCGCTACTCTTTGGATATAATATATATTTGGAAAGAATTCTATTATTGTTATTCTATATACTTTAATCCAAAATATTATTCTACATGTAAATTGTCACAACAGTTAATTTAATTCACTATAAAAAAGAAGATTAGAAAATAGACTGTCTTACTTAATCCTCAAAATAAAAATATAGCAAGGAATAGTTTCATCTAACCCATTTCTCATCGTGTTACTCTATATACTTACTCTATATACTTATGTATTATTCTAGTTGATTTATTTTCTTTCTGGTTTTACGGGCATTCTGTAATAAATGGCAGCTAGAACCACGTGATCCCTTTGCCCCTTCCTCGTTGCGGTCTCGGTGATGCCTCTTTCTTTTCGAAGGGATTACGTTCGGCGGAAGTTGAAGTAGCATTAAGTCGAAGTTAGCAATGCTTCGTGCATAATTACGATTAATTGCGGGCAATGTGTAAGGTCGGACGACTTAGTAGCAATGAAAAGTTGTAACGAGATGGTAAATTATGCAGCGAACGTAGGGCACAGCCGCGCGGATTTAGCCCAGGACTTTGGAACGGTTTCCACCGTGGGTCTTTGAAAAGAGGCGAAAGCAAACGATAAGATCCAATTATCGAAAAACAGTTTATCGCGTGGACAGGCGAAAGATAAGCCGGAAACGTATCCCAGGTACATTTCTTGGGAATGGACCCTGCACTCATGAAACGTCCAAGCGTCGCCGCTTGGCGACGTTGAGAAGCAAGACGAAGTACCGATTGTTAACTTCGTGATATACGGTCAAGGAGCGACGACGAGGATTCTCTTATAATGGATGTAACGAGAGAACGGTGAAAGGAAAGGATTGCGAAATGTACCCGACAATGAAAAAAAATTTAAACTCCATTCCTTCCGAATGATTAAGTCAATCTTAATTAGTAAAGCTACTTTAAGTCATTGATCGTTATTACATATCAACGGCCTATTTAGAAAACTTTCAGATCAAAATTATTTACTCATACTGAAATTTATTTGGGAATGTTTATAATATTCCTTTAAATACTGAATATTCCTGAACTTGAAACTATGAAAGAAATTGTATCATGCTGTTGTAGATGAATTTTTGTTTAACGAATGTTTGTATACTACGTTTTGTTAATTTATTGCGGTCAGCCAAATGTGATTATAATAATTAAAACAAAAAATCCGTAAGTGTTAATGTCCCATTAATAACTTTGACATAAATGTTGTTTAACGAAAACATTAGTTTTAATTGTAAATTAATTAAATACATAAACTTCGAAAAATACCTAATAGGTAATGGAATTGTGAACGTGTTTCTTAATAAGTATTGTAGAAAATATTAAAGTTTTCGTGCTTTCGCTAAACATAGTTTGATCTCAAGAAGATTTCATTCCGTAATGTTCTTAACAACGCACTGGAATAATATGCGCTACTTAAACCTATTAGAGGATTACGTACTCAGGTAATTTCAAGAAAATAAACGGAACATGAAACGGGGAGTAATTGGCTTATAGAATACGAAAATAATTAACTTGTATAACATGTTTGAAGTTATATAATCTCAAGAAATTTTAAAACGATCTCGTCGTTGCTGGAAACAGTGATTCACAATATCAGTACTTTAAAAAGACCCTGTATATTTTCTCACAGATTAATCTCATCAATGCTACGAAACATTGGCAATTGGTTCTAATGCTCTATAATATGTCAGAGATCCGATTGTTATATGTACGATGGAGCTTAGGGTCAATTTAAGTCTTACGCTATTACGGATAGCGAAGCGTGGTAAACCAAATGCTAAGCCGAGCTTAAGTTTTGTTCAACCACTCTATAATCTGCTTCAACACTTTAACCTTGAATGACGTATTACTATGCCTCTCATTTCCAACGGCTGGAAGCCATTGCCGCGATACTTTGTGCAAAAAATAGCGATCATTACCTCAAGGTACCGAATTTACGCGTCACAGACAAAAGAAAACCTACCCATACTTATCAACGACATTTAATTGCAACAAATTAAAGCAGAAATTTACACTTTGTTCAAAATTTTTAATTTCAAGCATTTTTATAAAATTTGTCTAAAGATTTTATTTCAATTAATCTGAAATTTGAAATTTTATTGAAATAACTACTTTACTTGTTATTCAAATTTACATCTTCACGCCATACTTGTACAGTCCAATTAGGTCTCAACAAATTCTTGTCAAACGATAAAATATGTGCAATGCTTCCCTGTAGAAGACAATTGAGTGTACGTAATCTATTTCCGTAATTGATGCGCTGTCCAAGTGCCAGAGAGATCCGAATCATAAATCGCTACGGAATTCGATAAATGATTACAAGGCGATTGTCGAAGCAGAAAGCCTCGAGTGAGGGGAGGCTCTTTTTCGTCGTTATTAATGATCATTCGGGATTTTCTTTTCCTGCTTGTCGTTGGTTAAGGGAAAGACAGAGTTAGCAGGGCTTATTGCGTTTTATTAATTACCTCGACCTAGTTAGTAATTCCAACCGTGCTCGATAAATAAGATAACGAGACGGGGAAGAGGATCTGCGTTCTTTGTCACCGTTGAGCTCTACGCCCGAAAAATACGGTGTGTCTTTGCGTTATTGCGCAATCCTTTTCCGTTTTTCCTTTTTTTTTTTTTTTTTTTTGAGACTGCCAAGGACAGGGGAAAAATAATTACGAAAGTTCACGGCACATTGTGTTAGTTAAGGTTAATGGGAAACCAGCGTTATAGAAACGCTCCCCTTCGTCCCTTCTAAATGAAAATTTAAGCGGAGTTAATGTGGAAATATGAGAGACGACCATTTAGAAAGTTTCAACAGCATCTCCGCTATTTTAAGATATTAATGTAAAATACGCACTGTTACATAATCCGTTCGCAATAATGTGTCACAATTTCATGTTCGTTCGATCAGAGACCAAAAAGTCGATGCAAGTTTCTCTCCTTTTTCACGAGACAAAGGCTTCCGTTCTTTCTGTACCACATTTTTCTGGTTAAAGCTCCCTCCTCGTTTTTGATTTCGAATCCGAGGTGATACACACTGACACCACTCGGGTGGTCCTTCTATGCGAGAGGCACGATCGTCATTCGAAGAAAAATCCGATTGAATACGACACTGGAAACTTATTGGTTTACGTGATACGTTTGAGAATTTGTATTGCAGACGAAACGAATTCTAGATACTCTAGTGGTAGATCAACGGAGACGGAACAAATACGGATTGGTAACTGTTCGAGTGGTATTGTGTCACGCGAGCGTCGTGCTACCTGGTGTGACATGGGATTTACATTTCGGTTCGATTTCACGTGGCCCTGGAATACCTTAGCAGAGTACTGCCTTCCCTACTCAATTTATTTTAGTTGAGAGATGACATTTCTTTATTAATGCTTTCTGTCAAAGCTTTTGGCATGAAGTGACCTGATCAGTGGAATATTTGAATTTCTCATAGCTGTGTTATTCATTAGACTTTATGATAAATTTTATTTGTACATGTTTAAAATGTATTTTATTCCTTTACACTGCGTGTCTAAAAAATCACTCAGTATATTATAAAGGAAATATTTCATTCAGTGGTTTTTGAACACCAGTAGCAGTATCTGAAAGTCATTGAGTTAATAAATGCTACAAATTAAAATAATATTTTCTCCACGTATTGATAAATGGATTCGATTAGAATGTTTCTAATCAAAGCTCGCATCTAATTTGGGCTTCCTTAAAAATCGAAAATCCTACTGATTGAAACTGAAGATATGTTATCTACCATCCTAATTTAGAAATCCTATGAATATTAAATGTCACGTATCTCCGTAATCTGATGTGAAAACTAGAGCTGGTTTGTGTATAAAGTACTTCAAAATGAAGATAACCTGCCGGTATATTTTAATATAAAGATACTCAAGATTTAATGACATTTTGCTGTATTATAAATCTAAAATTTGTGGCTTTTCATATTTATAACTACTTAACAAACTGAATACATTTTTTGATTGCATAATACACGCTCCGTAATTACATGGAGGGATGTTACGTTGGAGATTTTTATTACCGTAGCATGCAAATTAAATGAAGAACATACATTACATTACGTTTGCACTTGCGAGTAAGTAGCGTCGACAAAAGTTCGTTTAACGTTGCCATCAACCTTCATGATTTTTTAATATAATTTCTTTTAATTTCGAAGTAATTAATTTCCTATACGATTTTTTTGATAATTATATGCTTTGTTACAGCTTTAAGAAAAACAACTGCTACAAATAAACATTTCTTATGTTTCAGGACGAGAAGAATCAACTGCTCATCACAAATCTTTGGCTGAAATTGGTAAGTTCAACAATTTATAATATAGGTAAATCCTATATCGAATACTCGTTAGAATTTGATAAACGACCGTCTACGAACGCAGCAATCGGAATGTATTGAATAAATTTCAGGTGTTCCATGGTGGATGAAAAATTGTATTACGGACGACGAAATCATTTTGAATTTTGATCATTCCCTTGTTTTCCATTTAAACGCACTCGTACGTCTCTCTACAATTGTTTGTGCTGCTTGTGCTCGAAAGCTCTTCAAAAGGATTCGATTTTCGTAATTACGTTTACGCAATCGAAACGCGCAGGCTCGTTGAAATTAATTTGCAAATATTGTTGTCAACAGAAAATATATGTATGGAGAAGTTTAGTTTGATGAAAAAAAAAAAATGCAATTTGCGCGATGAGTTAATTGTTATTGTAAGCTATTACAGACGTAATTGCACGCTACAAGTTTGCAGTTTGCTTTCCAGTACTTTCAATTTTGCCCACGATGCTCGACGCTAAAATGAACCGAGGCTGTTCTGAAGATGTCCAGAAAACTGCTGGAGAGTAGTACCGCGGAACCGAAGTATTTTCAACTTGGAATCATGCTCGTAACGGATTCTTATCAACTGGAACTATTAATAGAGTCACGGGCAACAGGTACCACCGACAGAGTGGCTGAAGTGGCGCACCCTTATTAGGGTAGACTGTCGTAATATTTCCATTCAGGAGGTTTCGAACCGCGCTTTAAAACGCTTGTCGTTGCTCATTTCCAACGGCTTATGCCTCGTCAATCCTCGCCCTCATTCACAACCACTGCCGAGCCGTAGCAAGAACGGCTTTGCGATGACCCAAATTCTCAGTTAACGATTCTACGATGATGTTTTGCCCGATTGACAAATCGACCGATCATCCCCTACCGCGACCCTGTGTCAACAATTACAACCGAACAGAAGTTGCATCGCGCACAGCCTTAATCACGTACTCTTGATAGTCGTTCGGGTGATTCGGGAATTAATATTTCAGACGATCGGGAACGTCAACACGCGAGCCAAATTGTTTCGCAACGAGCTTGACCCGGGGATCACCGGGGCAGAAAACTGTTATTGATGAACCTCGCGGAAACTCCTGCGCCTGGAACATCGAATCGAACAAACAATTACGAGAAGGATAATGCGAGTATTCTTTTGCTTCGTTAATATCGAATGATTCTTTGATGTTTGGTGGAGAACTTAGGTTAGTGGTTACGTTACAGTATAGAAATTGCATCTGTGGGAAATCGGAAATGTAACCAATGAATTAGAAATTCTCTTGATTGGAACGATAAACAAGTACTTCCTGTTTTTTGTTGTTTAATTAAAACCACGGTTGATTGCGAGACTCTTCTTTCCGTTTCATCGTAGCAATTCAATGGTATCTTTTGGTAACGAATAATATTTATTCCTTATCACTGTGGTTTCTATTTAATTATATTTTTGTTTATATCTAAATATTTTAATTTCAACATACATTTGTATACTCGAAAGAGATTTCAATCTTTAAACTAAAGACAAAAATTACACTCGATCGTATCGTGATGTTCTACGTGAAACATGAAATATTTCATAAAGTCATGCCAAATTACTTCAATATACAGTATGAAGAAGAGAACGTTTTTATGAAAGAAAATGCAGAATTTCATTTAAAATGCGAGTGCATATTGCATTTGACTCAACTTTACCTTGCGCCAATTTTGTATATCTTTGTTTGAATATGAACTGGAGCTGGTTTTCATTTCTAGAATTAACCTGTATATCAACTGCGTATAAAGCATTGGTTACAATTGAGATTATTAAACTTTAACTTGTGAAAGCTTCCATATAATGTAATCATAAGAAACATTGCTTCCTGTATTTTACAATGGTTTCTAAATGAAAGTAAATGTCAAACACCCCGTTGTTATTAACATACGAAGTCGAATATGCAGCAAGTATTTGCATAACGGAAAATGAAAGCAATTAACAAGAATGAACTGATCATAAATTAAATCGAACGATTTCAATTTGAAATATGTACCTGCATCGTTAGGATAATTGCCCGTGTAATATCTTCTCAAATGATCTGTCATGATTATACTCTGTTAAGCAATACAAATTACAGTGCATCGCTCCAGTGTAATTTATATGTAAAACTTTCCTCGGTTGCCGTAATTCGAATTCTCCTGCTTGATTAAAAATGGATCTCATTCGGGCTCGTTTAACTTTCTGCCCCCAAAGCTACTCATGATTTCTCTCGCTTTCAGGAATAATTACGCACCGCGACACGATGCCACTTTTGACTTTCGTTGCGCGAAGTATTTACATTTAATTGCTGAAAACGCGAGCGTGTGTAAATGTTTGGCGGAACGGTGAAAAGTTTTGTTCCCTGCCTTCTAACCTTCCCCCCCCCCCCCCGTACCTTCGGATGTCAAGTGCATGCACCGAGGGAACAGAACGCGCAGCTGCACTTGACTCGCAATGCTGATATCTCGTTGAATGTAAGTCTCGGAGATATTCAACGACTTCGAATAAGACTCGGAGATATTCGAGATATATTCGACGTTGGCACGTATCGGAACCGCGTCCTACATTTTCTAATAACATTTCTATCAAACACACTTGTTTCGGTAGAGGGGTACAAGGCAACACAAACTAAATATTTTTTGTACGTAAAAGTTCTTGAAATTTACGTTACGAATAATATAGCGATGATTCCGTGTCATAAATGATGTAAAAAAATGGGACTTAATATTTTTCTATGCAGGAATAATTACCGTGGAAAATAATTTTGAATATCAGGAATAGTTAGGAATAAGACATTATTTTCTAGTTCAAATATTCGTCAAAAAATATTGAAAGATGACAGAACTTTCATTATTTCACACGGACAAGAACTGTCTCTACTTTCATCTTTTAATTTCAAGTATTTTTTATTTCCAATTTTTAATTAAATTTCCTGCGTGATATGTCATCGACAATTTGACCTGGCGTGGCTGTAAAAAGTTATTTATACAACAATGACTATCACACTTTCTGCACATTATTTTTTAACGACATAATAAAGAGACCGATATACTTTAATTTTATTAAACTCACACAAACCAACGCGTAATAATATTGCTTTTCACACTAAACGTAGATTCGATCTTCGACCAGGGATAATTAATTCCATTATCATAACAATAGGTCAAAAAACAGCAGGAAGTATAACGCGTATTAACATTGCAGAATGTATGCTCAGGAGACAATGTGGGCTAAGTATAATAAGATACGCCTCATTTTAAAGTCTCCTTAATTCACGGTGAATCTATATGAGCCACCGTTGCAATGAATTTGCATAGTTTTCATTGAGATCTCGCGATAGAGAATGCAAAGGTACATACTGCGTCTCTGGATCTCGACACCGCAGCGTGTGAGGAATACGTATTACACGAATGTGTACCCAGGGTCCCGCAATTTGCATATGTGCACGCTATTTCATGTCAGCGAGTTGGGTGTTGATTAGTTATTAAAGACTTGCGTGTGCTAGTGCATACTATAAGCAATTACCGAGTTCGTCCAGCTAAACGTTGATGTAATTTGAATAATTACATTACAAAAAAAAAAGAAAATCACGTTGATGTTTGTTTTGGATAATGAAAGAGATATTAGAATGAAATTCGTCGTTTTATATCGAAATTGAATTAACGCATTCGTGCTATCGTGCCCATTCTTTAAGGAAATGAAATTTTCAATCGAATTAAATAGAATCATTGCATACGAAAGTAATAAAATTACAATTAAACAAAATATTGGTAGAGTAATTTTAACCTTTTGTCAAGGTAACCTACATTTTCATTTTTTTAATTTCCTCGTGACAGTTGGGAAGCCTATCCTGCAAAAATAATATTTTTTTCGGTGCGTCTGCATTTAATAAATTTTTAGCGCGTGTATTAATGGAACCCTGGTTTTATGTAGGTTCCTACATTCCGCATATTTAAATTCGAACGGAATATTCGTGGTTAGAATATTTATAAATATTTCTCCATTCAAACGTTTTATTATGGAACGTTTTCATCTACGTTTTAAATGTTTGACATACATTTTCTATACCCGGGATGGCGGGAAACGAAGTTGATAAAAACGGTCTATAATCAAATGAATCGATCAATGTTTCAAGAAATCCTTTCATCGTCGTGTTATTTTATCAAGTTCGTTGTTCGAAACGAATGATGACATTCACTGAATAGTTGAGCGGACCGAAGTGAATAGTTTGCTATTTGTAAAAGATATGGGCCACCTGGTCCACTGCAGAATTAAATTTCGATCCAAACGCATTTCATTCGTGTCTCCTCATTCATCCGGTCGGCATAAAGTCAATTTCGAAACTCTGTTCCCTAAACAAATTGAAAAATACATTTGTTCGCCTCCTTCCCCCTACCACCCCTCGTTTGACAAATGCTTTTCAGAGACACGGAATAGACGTGTACGGTTTGCTGCGCATTCGACGGCCTTAGTTGACACTCGAAGTCTGCCATGTGACGAGTAGAAACAGAGTTAATCAAGCGTACTCTCACGTTCGCGAAATTCCTTCTCGTCGTCTCCAGTCGTACTTCTGTTTCGTTTTTACTTATAACTGTCGAAGTTCTTGTTTCAATTATCGCTTGAGAAATCGCGAGAATTGGTAATACACTCACTGTCTTAAATGCTCTTCGTGGAACAATTCCAAACACAATTGTACATTATTTATCTTTATTCTATTATTTTTCTTCATTCATTTTAATATTGTGCCATAATTTTCTATTATGCTGATAGACGAAGCAAAGCAACGATTTCATTGCATGTCACTATTGTGAAACAACATATTCTGCAAAATCTCGGTAAGTTTCATAACATTTATCACATCTTTTATGATTTTTCTTTGGAATATCGAATGTACTAAAATGATTACCAGAATTGTTTGAATATTTTGGGTTCTAAATGGATGAAACTGTATGATATTTTTGATAACAAAACACGATGAAATAATAAC